ATGGTAATTAAACTAGAGTACTATTTATATTTAATATATATTTATAAAGTTACTAAATTATTTATATTAAGATTAATATATGTATGATTGTTGAAATATAGTAGTATTTTTATATATTGAATTCATATACATAAAGAAATTCAATTTAAAATTATTAAGATTAAGATTAACATGTGTGGTTATTGACATGTCTAGTTATTAGTTGATATGTTAATATACTTTATCAAATTCAAATTCAAACTAGGTAATTAAATGATGGACGATCGTAGTTGGATATATCGTCGTGTGGATGATAGTGGTTTTGTTACTGATGAATTTAAAGAGGGGGTGCAATTTTTTGTGAGATTTGCATTTTCAAGGCCGAAAGCAAAATTAGAGATTAAGTGTCCTTGTTCAAAATGTAAATGTAGAAAATGGGGGAATCCTGAGGTTGTCTCTGTGCATTTGTGTAAGCAAGAGTTTATGAATAACTATTATACATGGTATGTTTATGGAGATATATCTAGTAATACAGTAATAAACTTTGAAGGGGAATCTTCTAATATGGAGTTTGTTAGAAATGAGGTAGATGCATTATACCATGAAATGGTAGTTGATGCAATGGGTGCACAGTCTGAATACAATGACGGGTCAATGGCTGAGGAGCCAAATAGTAAGGCAAGAGAATTTTATGATCTCTAGCATGCTGCAGAAGTCCATATAGGTGCTGGGGGACAAGATGTTATAGTACTTTCATGGATGACAGAAATGCTAAACATGAAAACTCTTTATAATATGAGTGCTACTAATTGGGAAATGGCATTGTCATTGAGTCGAAAGTTGTTGAGTCCAAAGGACCAAGAAAAGGTGCCAAAGGATTTCTATAGTGCAAAAAAAATGATAAATTTGCTTGGACTTGGGTACAAGAAAATTGATATTTGTGTCAATGATTGTTTCTTGTACTATGATGAGCAAGGTAAGAATTTAACTGCTTGTCCAGTGTGTGGAGAATCTCGTTATGAGCCAAGGAATATGACTGCTATAAGGCAAAAAGATGTTCCAAGGAAATCTTTATGGTACCTTCCAATTACCCTAAGATTGCAGCGACTATACATGTCTAGAAAAACAGCAGAGCACATGACATGACATTTGAAATGCCGTGAGGATGTGGATGAAGTTATTCATCTTGCGGGTAGTGAGGCATGGAAACACTTTGATGAAACCCACCCAACATTTGCTGATGAATCTAGAAATGTTAGACTTGGCCTCTTTACAGATGGTTTCAATCCATTTGGTTGCTCTGCAACGCCTTACTCTTGTTGGCCTGTTTTTCTTACAGTGTACAACCATCCTCTTGAATTGTGTATAAAGTCAGAGCATATATTTCTTGCCATGATAATTGCTGGACCTAAAAGTCCAAGAAAAAAACATTGATGTCATGCTTAGGCCATTAATTGATGAACTTAAGGAATTGTGGACAAATGGAGTTGAAACTTATGATAGTTTCAGACAACAGAATTTTATCATAAATGCTGCATTGCTATGGATTATAAGTGATTTTCCAGGTTATGTCATGTTATTTGGATGGAGCACACATGGGAAGTTGTCATGCCCTTATTGCATGGAGAACACTAAGGCTTTTCAACTTCAATATGGGAGGAAAACATCATTTTTTGATTGT